AACCTGTTATCGTTCGATCGAGGACGAACCCTTCTCTTTGTTGGCGAAGACCCTTGGACTTAAAGGGTGTTATTTCAAACTTATCGAAATAATAGCCCATCGTCGTTCGATCGAGGTTGAACCCTTCTCTATTTTGGCAAAGGCCCTTGGCCTTAAAGGTTGTTATTTCAAACTTATCAAAATAACAGCCCGTCGTCGTTCGATCGAGGTCGAACCCTTCTCTTTTTTGGCGAAGGCCCTTGGCCTTAAAGGATGTTATTTCGAACATATCAAAATAACAACCCGTCATCGTTTGATTGAGGTCGAACCCTTATCTTTTTTGGAGAAGGCCCTTGGCCTTAAAGGGTGTTATTTTGAACTTATCGAAATAACAGCCCATCATCGTTCGATCGAGGTCGAACCCTTCTCTATTTTGGCGAAGGCCCTTGGCCTTAAAGGGTTTTATTTCGAACATATCGAAATAACAGCCCATCGTTATTCGATCGAGGTCGAACCTTTCTCTTTTTTGGCGAAGGCCCTTGGACTTAAAAGGTGTTATTTCGAACTTATCGAAATAACATCCCAACATTGTTCGATCGATGTCAAACCCTTTTCTTTTTTGGCGAAAGCCCTTGGCCTTAAAGGGTGTTATTTTGAACTTATCAAAATAACAAACCGTCGTCGTTCGATCGAGGTCGAACCCTTCTCTTCTTTGGCTAAGGCCTTTGGCCTTAAATGGTGTTATTTTGAACTTATCGAAATAACAGCCCGTCGTCGTTTGATCGAGGTCAAACCCTTCTCTTTGTTGGCGAAGGCCAAGATTCTATCGAGGTCGAACCCTTCTTTTTTTGGCGAAGGCCCTTGGCCTTAAAGGGTGTTATTTCAAACTTATCGAAATGACAGCCAGTCGTCGTTCAATCGAGGTCGAACCCTTCTCTTTGTTGGCGAAGGCCCTTGGTCTTAAAGGATGTTATTTTGAACTTATAAAAATAATAGCCTGTCGTCGTTCAATCGAGGTCGAACCCTTCTCTTTTTTGGCGAAGGCCTTTGGACTTAAAGGGTGTTATTTCGAACTTATCGAAATAACAGCCTGTCGTCGTTCGATCGAGGTCAAACCCTTCTTTTTTTTTGGCGAAGGCCCTTGGCCTTAAAGGGTGTTATTTCGAACTTATCTAAATAACAGCCCATCATCGTTCGATCGAGGTCGAACCCTTCTTTTTTTGGTAAAGGCCCTTGGACTTAAAGGGTGTTATTTCAAACTTATCAAAATAACATCCCATCATCGTTCGACCGAGGTTGAACCCTTCTCTTTTTTGGCAAAGGCCCTTGGCCTTAAAGGGTGTTATTTCAAACTTATCAAAATAACATCCCATCATCGTTCGACCGAGGTTGAACCCTTCTCTTTTTTGGCAAAGGCCCTTGGCCTTAAAGGGTGTTATTTCAAACTTATCGAAATAACAGCCCGTCGTCGTTCGATCGAGGTCGAACCCTTCTCTTCGTTGGCGAAGGCCATTGGCTTTAGAGGGTGTTATTTCGAACTTATCGAAATAATATCCCGTCGTCAGTCCTAGTTTCTGGAGAGTTGGAAATATTCTGTGTGAGTCCTAATTTGTTTGGTATTTCTCGCACCCGATGGTGCAACGCTGGTGAATACGAGGTGTTAACGTTTCGCTTAGGTTCGTGTTGTGTACGCATTATAGTTTTCTCGTCTGCCTCCTGCCGTCCAGCTCAGAGACGTTACCGGCAGGAGGTATTTCGGCTGCGTTGAAGCAATTTTTGTCCTTCAATCGAGATGTTCCTTTGTACGTTCGCCCACGTGGGTCTTATGTGCTTGCTTGGACAAAGAGTGGAGGGTGAGGATGAGCTTTTCTTCGCTCCTGCCCGGTGGTTCGGTGGGGGAGAACAGGTTGGTAACCCCGTTTGCCTTATTTAGTATATCTGCAATTGTTGGGGCGAGGATTTCTAGGCTTGGTAATCCTACTCGGCTCTCCTTCCCTTACTGTGCTGCTTCAATGTCTCGCATGGGTTGGATTCTCCATTCGTGCTTCTTTTGGTGGGTGATTGTGTTTTTTGGCTTTGATCTGGGAGAAACTAGGAATTTCCACTAAGAAATCCCCACAGACGGAGCCAAATTGTTTGACTCAAAAGATATTAAAAACCCTTTTTGAACAAATCAATCAAAGGTGAAGGGATAAATCTTAGTCAAACATAATTAATTCCAGATCGAAAAGTTAACAACAACGATTGCATATGAGATGAATGAGATATGATTGATCTTAGTCTATTTTGTTTTTGCCCTTTTTAATATTTACTAAGTTTCATTTTATATGGCATTCTTTTCTTTTAATTTAATTTTTTAGAGTATAGCTTATAAATAAAAGTGCAATAAAATTTTATGTTATCAAGTTATTTAAAAATTAATTAGATGTAACTGCCCTTGACAATCTGGGAGTAGTAACCTAAAACATAAACTAAGCAACCTACCAAAGAGCGTAACCTTTTTTATACCATGAATATTTATTTTTATAATGTCCCATGCGTGCCGTTGTGTTTTCATTTTGACAAATTGCAGCCTTGCATCTATTTATAATGCACTTCGTTTGTGAAAAGCTGGCGGAGGGAGAAATGGAAATTCAAATTGGAAAATTTTAAAAGCTGGAAAGAGGTTCAAAATTCATACACAAAAATATGTTCTTCCTTTATCATCACAACATACGTCGCATAAATAAAATAAAAGAGTCACGAGTTTTATGTACAAGTTGTGAGCAAATGTTCATCCCAAGAGATCTCATGTTGTAAACTTTTTTACAAATTTTAACGAGCAATAATTTTTAATGCTACGTGATTGCTTTACAATGATGCTGGTACAAAAAACCTTTGATAGACATTATCGGAGAAAAAAATCTTTCTTATATTTTTCTTTTAAATTGTGGTCCTCATTGTCTTAAGAGTAATCCATTAGAAAATTCTTTGGCTTCAATCAGTTCAACTTGCTAACGAATTTGGGGGCTTTTTGGATTACTTGGTTGATTTTGAATTGAAATATACATAAATACAAACAAATTTAATAATTCAAAGGGAATGTTTTCTTCTATTTAGGAAAGTCTATTAATATGTTAAGCTAGGAGGATATAAAATAGTAACAGCCTCGTTCGAATAAGATGTAAACATTAGATATTCTTGATTTTGGAGTGAAAAACAATGACCAACGAAATTTACTGTTTTTTTTCTCTCTCTCGCTCTCAATTTTTTCTGGTGATATTTTCATCTTCTAGAAAATTGAAACATTTTAGGTGAAAAATATAAAATATCTTAAGAACATTTACCCCGAATAAATGTAATCAGCATAGAAAAATCCAAGCTAGTCATTAAAACATAAAAATATTTTTTTTAAAAAAATACGAGGTTCTTGGAATGTTTTTCAAAAAACATAGGGGATTTAGTATACTATGTACAAACTAGTGTGAGGTAGCTATAGCCTATATATTAACAAACTTTAGGGCTAACAACATAATTAGTGAAGAAGACTAAATAATAAATTAAGACTTTTTTAAATGATAGTGAAATCCAATTCTTGAAAATATCTCAGAATTAGATTCCAGCATTAGTGGTCCATAACGCCAGCAAATTTATATCCTATTTGTTGCCCTTATGATTTGTTAATGACCTATCCTCCATGTGCCAAACAATAAAAAATGACCATAAATTTAACATTGACAAAATTGAAAAAGACTACTTATAGTTTAAACAAAATCCAAACTAGTTTAATATATAGGCCACCCTGGTCCCTCCACGTGGCAACATCAGCACACGTGTCAGACAACGACAGGTTACCTAGCATTGAATCATCAGAACACAGCTTGGCACATATAAAGATTTTCTCACATCTGACTTAACTACCAACCATTTGTTTTTATAAGTGTGTAATTTACACCAACTTGCCTATATTTCAATTATTTCATCTGATACTTATTACTTTTTATTAATATAATAAACGAGTAACTCAGCCCATCAAAACATAAAAAATAACAATCTGATGCACTAAGCTCCCGCTATGTGCGAGATCCGGGGAAAGACCGGACCAAAAGGGTCTGTTGTACGCAACCTTACCCTGCATTTCTACAAGAAGTTATTTTCACAGCTTGAACCCGTGACCTCCTGGTCACATGACATCAATTTTACCAGCTAGACCAAAACATAAAAAGAGGCAGCTCGGTGCACTAAGCTCCCGCTATGCGTGGAGTCTGGAGAAGGTCCGGACCACAAAAGTTTATTGTACGCAACGTTACCCGTCAAGACATAGACGCCTAAAAAGAAATCAACTAACTATATCACTATTCACTACTAAGTATAGTTAGTAGTGATATTGAAGGTCACTCAGATATTATACACAGATGAAGTTTGCTGGACAAATTAAAACCTTCTTCAGTCTTAGAAGCAACCTCTTTATATAGATCCTCTAAGACAAGTAAACTCTATTCTGACAATGACACTGCCACTGGTGGCAAGAAACTAAAAGGCCAGAGAAGAATATTTGCAAAATTAAATAAATGAAACTAAAGTCAAAAATCAATCTCCTATTTCCACACAAAATTTAATATTTTTAAAAAAAGGTCATTCGGAAACCTCAATGCACCTTCCCTTTTCTTGGCAATCCTCCATCTCTTGTAATTTTTTATCCAAACAACAAAAAACCCAGTTGAATCTCTCAAGTAGGGTATGGGGAGTATAATGTGTACGCAAACCTTATTTCTACCTTATGAAGGTGGAGCGACTGTTTCCGATAGACTCTCGATCTCTTGTATTTTTTACCCAAACAATATCAAACCCAGTGGAATCCCACAAGTATAGTTTTGGGAGGGTAATATGTATGCAGAGTCGTAGACCTTACCTCTACCTTATGAAGATGGAGAGGTTGTTTCTGACTGAGCCTCGACCTCTTGTATAATTTAACCAAACAACAACAACAAAAGAAAAAAAAACCCGTGAAATCCCACAAGTGGGGTCTGGGGAGGATAATGTGTATGCAAACCTTACCTCTACCTTACGAAGGTGGAGAGCCTGTTTCCAGTGGACACTCAGCCTCTTGTATTTTTTAACCAAGGATAACAATTTCTCTAGCAAAAAAATTACAGCTTACAAAGGGGCCCTTTGAAAGGGCACACCAAGCCTTTGTGGCCAAAGAATGAGACTGATCATTGAACCTACTCTCCTACATAATATGTTACTACAACAAACCTTTATAGACCTGGTAAGTAAACTTCAATCTGATAATGTTAAATTAAGTTTGAAAATGAAGATGTCAATATGTAAGGAATCTTGGCAAGAGGACCTCTCTGGCATGCCAGCTCATGTATATCCTTCACAATATCAAAGACTGCATTAGGTTGTGCAAGTTTCAGAGCGTTCTCTGACATCGTTTTCAGCTCATCGCTTTTGGTGGTAAACCATTCTGCAACAATCCGAGCTGTTTCCTTGGGGCGTCGCGTGAAAACACCGGCTCCATTGTCAACCACAAATGGAACATTTCCCTTCTCCTGCAAATATACAAAGAAAAATGAATAAACATCAAGATCCAATAAGCCATCAAGATTCGAAGTGAATAGTCAACTTCTCAAATTCACTTACTTGTCCAGGAATGTAGTCGTTCAGAATAATGGGAAGCCCCCTGATTAATGCTTCTGCAATCGTACCAGGTCCAGCCTATGAAGTGCAGAAACAGAACATTTAGTCACATTATCTCACCAGTTGCCAAAAACACGATATAGTCGTCTTAATATTAGAGCAGACTGAACATACCTTTGTGATAATACAATCACAAGCACCCATCCACTTCTCCATTTGTGTCTGAAATCCTTTGATCTGAACATTAACGAATGTAAGACACTTGCCATTGTGAAGTCTGTCCAACTTGTATTCACAGAGTTTTGTAAGGCTCTCATTCCATTTACCTGAACGGGGATGTTCCATTCGAGTGATCGTAATGTGGATGCTAGGGCTTCATTGCGTCCACATATGACAATCATTTGACCAATAGGTTTGCCAAGTTCCTTATTGAAGAGTGCTTCTCCAAGAGCCTTTGCAGTCTTTTTCACAGGACCCATCCCTTCACCGCCACCCATCAGCAAAACAGCTGGCAATGTGGGATCCATCTCAAGTTCCACTCTAAGGTCATCCTACATAAAGTATAGAGGGGGAAAAAAAAGAATATATATTAAATTTTCATCTCACAAATGGAAAGAGAGAAAAATGACTTGAAGAGGAAAGAAAGAGGAACGAAGCCTTTTTGTTAGATTGCCATGACATTCACCTTGATAAGAACTGCTCGACAAAAAGAAGGCCGGATGGGCAATCCAAAAACGCGTGTTTGAGATTCTTCCAAGCGATCTAGTAAGGCCCTCTTTGCTACCTCCTCTGAGGGGCAGTACAAGCGATTGACTCCTGGATGAAACCTGATATAGAAAGTCTTCATAAGTTGGAATGTTATATGAGATGAATGCACTAGACTCCTTTAAATGAAAAAAAGGCTTCTTGTCGGCAAATACCCCCTTCTCATCAACGTATTTTTAGCATTAATGAAGCGTTAAAGCTCTAGAGTTCATCAACACCTTACCATGTACGGTGGCAAGTGTTGAGATCCGTAATGACTGTTACGAAAATAACTTTCTTCTGTAGGCCTTGCCATTTAAGAACCAATAAAGGAATGTGCTGCATAAGAGGATGAACACTAATAATTATGTCTGGCTTGTACTCCATCAGGCCAGCTTCTACCTCTCTACAAATTCAACAATGCAAACAGAAATTAGTATAAACCCCTGCGGAAGTAGGTGCAAAATAGTATAATACGTTACTTTAAGAAGATTCATCTCCAATTTTCTTTTGATGACTACCAAATTGATCACATATCTTTGCAAAAGCTACAAAGCCGAAGATCACTTTCCTGATAACTTAAGTAACTATGTCAGTAATCTCCTACAGCATCCTAGCCAGAGGCGGATCCAGAATTTAAACTCTATCGGTTCAAACTTTAAGGTTTTCAGTATTGAACCCATTATATTTTTAAGGTTATGGGTTCATGTCTACTATTTAGTACAATTTCAGTAAAGTTTTAGACATAAATTTATGCTCCGCGTCGAATGTTATGGGTTCAATTGAACCGGTACCCATAACGATACATCCGCCCCTAATCTTAGCAATGATTTAATGAAGTATAGGTGGATTTTAACAAGCATTCTTGTCATGAATTCAAGATTAACAATACAAGTGTGTAATTAAATGTAGACAAAGATATCGAGGGTGACCTAACTGCAGTATGAAAAAGATCCAGAAAGCAATAAACTCATTGAGAATTCCCCTAGACAGAGCATTAAACACTACTACACAAAATATTTAAGACAATGCAGAAAAAGTTAAAAGTAGAGACAATAACGTACTTGGCGTAGAAGGCGGCAATAGCAGCAAGATAAACAGAGTGTATCCACCGAGGTGACGTGCCATGAAATGCGACGCTCCAAAGGCCAACATGTTTAACCATGAATTTGTATTGTTGTTCCATGTTGTTCAATGGCCAGCCAGTGTATTCCTTCCAAACATCCTTGACAAAAATCTGCATGTTATAGGCCACATTAGGCAAGACCTAGTTGAAACATGAAATCATGGTAGGTCCAATACAGCAAAGACTTCCCAAGGCATGTGATTCCATTGATCAAAACCCCAAATTTTTATTTGTTAAAAAGTCAATATAACATGTAAGAAAAGTGGATGAGAAACAAAAAATTGACCTCATTAATTATTTCCCTAGGGACCACAGGAAATTGACATGTGCTTAACAACTAAGCAAGCAGATCAAGAAACTCAAAAAACTCCAAGAACCAAAAACAAGGCAAAAACAAGCTGGTAAACTAACCAGAAAAAGATCAAAGATGTATAATAAGTAATTACAAGTAAAAGAAAAAAGAGTTACCCTATATTCATCTCCATATTCTAACTTGAAAGCATCCCTAATTGCCTCAGCTGAAGCCCTATGACCACCACCAGTATCACTCATCAAAATAAGCACATTTTTAGTCCTTTCAGCACCAATTTGCACCATTTCCATGGTATCATCTTCATCTTGAAAATCATATTTGCATCTTTTCTGACTGCTACCACCAAACCCATAAACCCCAACTCTCCCTAATACTGTGTGTATAGATTTCCTAGGGGAAGTCACCTTAGTCACCATATTTTAACCTCTCTTTTTCACCAATCGCACAAAATATACATAAATTGGTCCAAAAATCGTTACTTGAAAAGGTCAAACAACCCCAAAAAGGTAACAATTCAACCACCCTTTTGCCTGCAAAGATCAACAGGAGTAGTCGAAGGTTACAAAAACTACAAAAGGGTTTTAAGAATTTCCAAGAAAATTCAATATTTGGACACCCTTTAAGATTTGGACAAAACAAGTACGGAGAAAATGGGGTTGGTAACTTCCTATTTTCAGTAACTTTCGGAAGAAGTAGAGGGAAAGTTACAATAACACAAAAAGTTAAACATATTTTAAAGAAAATCCAATATTTAGACACCCTTTAAGACCTTTATCAGAAAATGGAGGTTAAAAACTTAAACAACACAAGTATGGAGAAAATGGGGTTGGTAAAAGAAGAGGGGGGGGGG